CGTCGGGGAGGCCGGTCGGCGGGATGAACGGCGCGGCGGCGGCGGGAGGAGGAGGAGGAGGAGGAGGAGGAGGAGGTGGAGGAGGAGGAACGGCGGCGGCGGGGCTGTTGGCGGGGACCGGGAAAGCGGCGTTGGAGCTGGAGCGGGCGCTGCGTTGCTGCACCGCCGCCTCCGTGGTGACCGACGGCGGCGGAGGAGGAGGAGGAGGGACGGCGGAGGACGAGCGGAGCCTGTACATCATGCGGGTGGTGCAGATCGCCGTCATGTGCGTCCTCGCCCTCACCGTCGTCTTCGGCATCTTCTTCCTCGGCTGCAACCTCCTCATCAAGTCCGAGGGGATGATCAACTTTCTGGTCAAGGACCGCCGGCCGTCCAAGGAGGTGGAGGCGGTGGTGGTGGGACCCTACTGACCGCCCCGACGGCCCCGGCGGCGGGGAACCCGCCGGCCGCTCCGGCCTCTGACCGCACGACGGCCGTTCCTCCTTTACACAGACCTTGGTTCTTGTTTTTTGTGCTTTTCTTCTCCCCTTAAAAAAAAAAACCAACAGCAAACGAACCCCGAGACCCTGGCGGCGGGTGAGACGTGCGGGGGGGGGCTCCCGGCGTGGGCCGCCCGTCCCGACCCGCGGGGTGTCCGAAGTAAAACGTGCTCTGATGGCAACAGGTCTGGGCTTTCTTATTTCCTTCGCGGTAAAAAAAAAAAAAAAAAAAAAAAAAAAATCCCCCCCGTTTTCGAGCCGCGGGGTCCCGCCGGAACGGGGCGGGGGGCGGCCGGGCTTCAGCGGAGAAGGAGGCTCCATCCCGCGGAGCTGGGGATGAAGCAAACGCCCCGTGGCCCATCCTTGCAGGTTTTTGCCTTGCAGCCGGGCTAAAACTTCCCAGTTAGACCGCTTTCCGAGTCCCCCCCGGGTTGCACAAGGCTGGGTGAACGCGGTACCCGCTTCCCTGGGTGCGCCGGAGCAGGGTGGGATGTGCCCGGGGGACATGCAGGGACCCCGCTCCTGCCCCTTGGCTTCCAGCTTTGGCCAGGGAAATAACCCGCTACACCCCGCTTGTATCCCCTCCTGTCCGGGTTTGACCCTGGAAAACCACTACACGTACTTTTTATTAACCCACCAGGAAGCCTCACCAACAGGTGACTTCTCACGGTTACATTTAAGGGAGGGAAAAAATAACACTTTCACGGGATTTTATTTTTTTTTACTGCATCCGTCTCCTCTATGGGGATAACAGAGCATCTTTCTATGAGAGGTTTGCATAGCTGTTTATCGTATCCCCAGGGGCTTGCACTGGTTGCTAGTGATAAATCGATGTATCTACATTTGCTGTAGGAGGAGCGGAACCGGCATAAATGCTTGCTGGGGACCACAGCAGCGGGATGGGGGCAAAAAGGCTCGAGCAACCCACCTGTGAGAAAATAAATGTCATGACAGCCAAAGTCCTGCAGGAAGAACGTTAATTGTCGATATTTTTAATGCTGGTAAGAATCAAAAAGTTTTCCAGAGAAGCCATGGGGACTGCTTGGTTTTCCCCCAGTTTATCCTGAGCTGGTGTGAAGATGGCCAAGCCATCGAATCATTACAGACATCTTTAGGAGATGTTATCAGAAGTTTCCATTTTGATAGACAAGGTGAAACTCGGCATTTACAAAATGCACCTGAGCTAGGAGGGTATGAAATAAAGCTGGAGCCTGAGAACAGCCACTTGACTGCAGATAAACTTTTGGTAGAAAATGAGACAAAACAGGGCATCTCAATGTAGTCCAATTCCCTCGGCCAAGCAGAAATCTCAGCTGTGTGATCACTCATTTACAGCTACATTTAAGGGAAAGACAAAGAACAGATCTGCCTGTTCTCTGGGAAACAAATAGGCTATGGACTTTGTCATTACATCAAAATAAATTTTACTAAGCCATCTATCAGCTGAGACATTGGTGAGAAATTTAACCAAAACTCTTCCCCTTTCTTTACCCCTTAGTGCTGTAGAAACATTAGAACAAGCAGAATTTTAAGATAATACAGTAAGAGGGAAAACTCCTAATATAGACGTTTCAGTCATTACAAAGCATTTCCAACTTTTTAATTTGCATCACTCCATGGTCTTGCAGATAACACAATCATTCCTGTAATCTGACTTGCAAGGAGCGCACTGCATGCTCGAACGCTTTTCGAGAGCTAGATTCATTAGGCATTCTTTATTAATTATAGCGAACACTTGAAGTAGTATAATACATTTTGATTAACCTTTGCCAGAAGCCACAGCTTTTTCCAACACCGTAAATCTGAGGCACGGCAAACTCCTGGTTCTGTAATAAAATTGCAGAATTTTCAACCTCAGCCCACACGTGGTCTGGTGCCTCTCACCTAAGGACCCCTTGCAAGGTGAGAGCCCCTATCCTAATAAAGTGCTCGTGACTCTTTAATCCCTACAAAGATACCTCATTTTAGGCGGGGAACAGCTGGAAAAAGGTTTTTTCCTACTGGGTGATGCAGAGATGCTCGAACACGTCCGGTCCACCGGCTTTACTTCGGCCTCTCTCCCTCTCTGTACTCCAGGGACTTTGGGGACTTGGCACAGAGAATAGGAGGTGACCCGACATACTTTGAATCCGTCAGTGGGCAGGGGGATGACAGCACGGGGAAGAAGCACCTCTCAGGCACCAACAAGGGCTCCGGCATCCACCTCAGCCCGTGCTGTACGGGGTGGACGGAGGAGCTCGCTTCCACTCGCGCTAGGAGCAGTATTTGGGCAGGTATCTCCTGCCCAGCCCCTGCGGCCACCTCCCCATTTTATAAAGCCAGGTCTTCCTTCCCAGAGCATACCTTTGTCCCTTCTAGACATGCATGTGAAGCCACGACCCGCGTGTTCAAGGGACGGGAACCTCACGGTGAACGTGGCTTGTCCAGATCACTGCACACATCATTTCAGGAACATCTTTAGAAAAGCACCTGGAAAGCTGCTAGGAGAGCAGCTAGGAGAGTCTACGGTGCCAACAGGTAAAGCCCTGTCAGCTCCTAGAACACGCTGCAAACAAAATCTACCCTGCTGCAGTGCTGAGGTGTCAGGAAATGGGAGTATTTGGGATAAAACCAGCAGGGGTACCCAAAGGAGGGCTCCACCACCTTGTAGTTGGCCTGAAGATAGTATGAACAGCTGACCTGCTGCTTTGTACTTGTGCCGTGTTTATTCATCTCAAGAGGTAATGTTCAATTTTACCACCAAAACTTGAGGGGCCTGTCGTTGCTGTGCATTCCCATTTCTCCATAATATTTCCATCCATGAAATTCCCAGAGGAGCAGAAAACCACGCGAGTGATGTGGTACACCTGAGCAGCTCTCAGGCGTTGCTGTCAGACATGAGCTCTGACAGGGGCAATTTCCAATTTGTGAGGAAGCCCTGCCCCTTGCGATGCTCAGTGACTCCTGGTGGGGTAGGAATTTGCAGCAGGACATCTCCCAGCAGGATTCACGCCAGAACCTCTCACTGCAGCCTCTCAATCCCTGTTTTGGAGAGAGTGATGCCCAACAAGTCCATACAGCCCAACCAGAGCAAGTCCCTGATGTGGTACTATTTGCAATTCTTCTTGAGTAATAAAATAAAAAAACTCAAATCTCACTTTTCTTAAGTCAAGGTTGAAGGAGTCTCACCTTAGGCTGTCTGCATACCTAATTACTGTCTACAAAGTCATAACATAGTAGTTCTTGCCTTGAATTAAAATAGCGGTGCCCATGCAGCAGAGCTTCAGGCCACCGCGCCGCAGGCAGACCTCAGCCCCTCGTGCTCAGCCTCAGTCGGCTTCCAGCATGCAAAATATCAGAGCCAGAGCTCTTCTGGGGATAAATACCCACCAAAGGTCGTCCCCAGCATGCCAGATGGCACCTGAGTTCTCTGCTGCCTCTCAGCCAGTCTTGCCTTTTCTCCCAGTTAGCCAGGAACATGGGCTCGGGAATGTGAGATAATAGATTTCACCCTTCCAGCTCAAACTGCGTGCTAATCCTCCAGAACAAAAATCAAGAGGCGTCTTAGTCACTTCCCAAACAGACACTGAAGTGGTTTGTTCGATATTTTAAATGGGATACACTTATTAAAAAAACTCCAGCAACTGCAATTGCTTTTAGATAACCCTGTGAATGTACTCAGGCTACATTTGTCCAGATGGCCATACAATTTTAATTGTATGCTTTCCACATCTTTTGGGTAATAATAATCAAACACTGTCTGAAGTACACAGGAAAGGTGCACTTTAGCAGTTCAGATATATGCAGGTGCGGGACTTTATTCCAATTTCAAATTCAGGCAAAATTCACATCGATTTTTAAAGCAGTTTAGCTTTAATGAGGAAAATGAGATCCTGCTGTTCATTTGCAGTTAAAAACCCAAAACTTCACCGTAAGTGACAGGCATAGCACACATAGCACAGCTTTATGATTTGCCTTCATATTTATCACTTAAAGTAGCCATCAAACGATCCTGGATCACGCAGCACACCCAGCACAGGGTGCTCACCTCGGAGCGGAGCTGGGAACCCTTAATGGAAATGTGCTTCCTAAAAAATCTTCATGCTCATATTCAGCTAGGCAACCCATTTAACATGCAGCTCTAGCTGCGTTTGAGCCCATATTAATTATCATTAAAGAATGAGTCATTAAAAGTGCTCCTCCTTTCTCAACAGCTCTGTTTGTGTGCATGAATGGATTATGCTGTTGCCATTGATTTCAGCAAACCGTGACTGGGGCTGTCTAACCAGTATAGCTGAAGGAGCCCTGAGGGACATCAAGTCTTTCAATTCTTTTGTATTATAAAACAGCAGTGTCCTCTCCATAATTAAGGTTTGAACTTGCTGTCCAAAAATCTAATTTTCTGTTAGCTCACCGTTAGCAAGTGATAGCTGTTGCCCATCGTACTTGCCTGCGTGGCTGGCAGCCAGCTTTTCTCCCAGACAATTCAGCCAGTTGTGCTGCTCCCCGTCTCCGCTGCACCGTTACCGGAATGGCGATACAGGCTTCTCAATTGAAAGAGAGAAAAACGGAGAGAGAAAAGCCAGAAAGCAGTGGGAAGTGTACGAAATACGGGGGGAAAGCACCATGAATGGCACAGAGGGGCAACAAACTGAAACGTAATACAAAGGAAAACTTTCTTTTTATTTGAAAAAGTGTGTGGTTAATCTGGGAACACCTGCCAAAGCCCGTGAAATTAGCAGGTTTCAAAAAAAAAAAAAAAGGGGGGGGTAGCTTCAGCCCCTCGCTGCCCCATGGCCGGGCGAGCTGCAGCCGGGATGCTGGTGGTCCAGCCCCGGGGGTCCACAGCCCCAGCCTCTCCCAGCGCGTTCCCCGCAGCATGGCCAGAGCCGCGCCGCTGCCCCGTACGGACACCCCGAGCCGGCAAACGGCATTTCACAAACACAGGAGCT